AAGCGATCCTCCTGCCTCAGCCTCCTGAGTTGCTGGGGCTACAGGTGTACACCACCACACATGGCTAAATTTTTTTATTTTTTGTAGAGACCGGGTCTGGCTATTGCCCAGGCTGGTCTTGAACTCCTAGCCTCAAGCCATCCTCCTGCTTTAGCTTCTCAAAGTGCTAGGATTACAGATGTGAGCCAGCATGCCCAGCCCCTTACTCAGCTTTAAAAAAAAAAAATCTCCCATGGTTTATTCTGTTGCTTTTAAGGCTTATTTTTACACTGCAATCTTTTTTTTTTTTTTTAAGTGAATAAGTACAGAGTTTAGTGGAGCCCAAAGCTTGAGGATGGCCACCCAGGAGCATAGAATTAAGTTGCCCTGAATATACACTCCCTATTGCAATCTTTAATCCATTTGGAATTCAATAAGGTATGAGGATGATAACATTCTTAAGAATTAGCACTAACTTTGGTTGTTATGGTCTGATCAACCTATTGTACAGATGGGAAGAAGAGCCTCACAGAGGGGAAATGCCTGTCCCCAAAATCTGCTCCTCCTCCTGAATTCCCTAACTCAGGGAGTGGCACCTCCATCCAGCAAGGTGCCAAAGTTCAACCTTCAACCACCACATGAGTCTGTCCTTTTGATTCTTCCTTCTAAATATTCACAAATTCAGCCACTTCTCTCCATTCCCATTTCTTGACCTAGTTGAGGCCTTGTATTATTGACACATCAGGGCTTTTGTATGTGCTGCCCCCTCTGCTTGGAATATGGCTGGCTCCTCCTTATTCAGGCCTGAGGCATTCTTTGCCCACCTTATCTCAAATACCCTCTGTCGTCATGATATTTCACAGCACTCACTATGTAGTCTGTAATTACCTTATTTATTTACTGTCTCCTCCACTAGAAAATTGTGCTGTTATCAGGGGCCACGTTTTTTGTCTCCTGCTGTATCCCTAGTACCTACAACAATGCCTTTCACATAATGAGTGTTTAAAATATTTATTGAATGAATAAATGAATGATCTCTTACCTGGATTACTTCAGTGGCCTCTTGATTCTCCTTTTTTTTTTTTCATGAGACTCAGGGGAATTTGAACTCTTCCTGTTGACATGTCAAGAACAATATCAAGAAGTCCTGGCTGGGCGCAGTGGCTCACGCCTGTAATCCTGTAGTCCCAGCTACTTGGGAGGCTGAGGCAGAAGGATCGCTTGAGCCTAGCAGTTTGAGGTTGCTGTGAGCTAGGCTGACACCATAGCACTCTAGCCCAGGCAACAGAATGAGACTCTGTCTCAGAAAAAAAAAAAAAAAGAAGTCCTGAGGATAAAGGGAGCTCCAAGGCCAACTGTGGGGCCAAAAGAATTGGGACTGTCTGGATTGGTGACCAGACAGGGTTAGGGGACCTGTCTTCTAAAGCCAGCTCTGCCAACTACTGTGTGATCTGGAACAACTCATTTCACCTCTCTCAGTAGCTGCTGCTTCTGTAAAGTGGTGATATTAACATCTCAATGATACAGGAAAGTTGTGAAAATCAAATGAAGATGCATGTATGAAAGTGCTTGTATACTGCCAAGGGTTATGGGCATAAGGAAGGCTTCTTTCTTCCCTTGCAGAAGGTGCCAATGTCTCCTTCCCACTTACCTTTAGGCTAGCCTTCAGATACAGGCAGATGCTTGCTGTGTCAGGACCGAGCCTCTCTTCTGCACGTGGCTGGACCGAGTGTCCATGGCACCTGCCAATAAGCATGGAGCTGGCAGGTGTTGCTTTGAGTTTCCATGCACAAGGACAGCAATGCCTGGCACACACAGGTTAATGTAAGAACCTTTTTCTTCTGGGCCTCAGTCTTCCCCTGAGGAAATTGGGCTTAATTACCTCATCTCCCAAGACACAAGACATTCATCAATATTATGGCAGTGGCTGTAGGTAGTCACAAGGTGGGTGGTCCCAGAAGAGAGGCAGAGGAGTCATGAAGCCTCAGGACTTGAGGTGTGCTCAAGTTTTGATTTAGGAGGTAATGCCTCTTTGTCTTATTTTAATTTCCTGGAGCCAAGGGTTCCTCCTTTAGCCATTTAAAAAAGATATTGTTTACTTAGTGGGTGAGAAGAGCTGTCCCAACTCCACAGAGACTATTGAGTCTGAAAATTAAAAACAATCTCCTGCACTTGTAAAGAATAGAAGAGATGATTTCAAGTCAGATTCTCTTTTGACATTATGCTTTGTCTCAGTTCCCTTTACCTCTGCTGGCCTCTTAAATGTTGGCAACCCCTAACTGGTCTTCGAAATTTAGAGGAAGGGAGTGGGTTTACTTATGTGAAATTCAGAGGCTGGGAATCTCTGATTTTCTCTTTCTTTAGTGCCTCCCTCCTCCAAATTGTCCCCTAACCTGTTGCCAGAGGGATTTTTCCAAAGCACAGTTCTGATCTTCTGGCTGAGAAATTTTTTGTTCCCTTCTGTCAACAGGATAAAGTCCAGATTCCTTAGCTGGGAATCATAAACTGCCACAATCTACTTTCTCAGCTTCAGATTGATTGACTTGATTTCAATGTAAGTTAATCAAGGAATTTGTATCACTTAGGATTAGGTTCAGTGAAACTCCAAATATTAGAAGCTTAAATAAGATAGAAGCTTATTTCTCATGTACAATAGCCCTGGGGTAAGCAGGTGGAGCTCAGGGTGTCAGGAAGCCAGGCTTTGATCTTGCTGCTGTCCTGTTTTTAACATGGTTAAAGATGGCTATACAAACTCCAGGAATTATGTCTGTATCCCAGCCAGGTGGAAGGTGAAGAAAAAGTACAGGATGCATGCCAGCTATATTTGAAAGAGGTTCCTAACAAACTGACACTGAATACCTCTGCTTACATAATGTGGGGCAGACCTTGTTAGCTGTAAGGGATGCAGGGAAACATTGTGTTTATTCCAGCCTACCATATGCCCACCTAAAAGTCATAGACTTTAATTTTAAGGAAGAGAATGGATATTTGGGGAAAATGAGAAGGTTCTGACATCAATGTCCTGTCTCTATAACTTTGTTTAATCTGGTCTCTTAGTCTGCAATGCTTGACTTCCTTCCCCGAGTAAATTATAATCATCCTTTAAAGACTAGCCAAATGTCACCTCCAGACCCCTAAAGGTGCAATGAATAATTCCCTTCACAGTTCTCAGGACACTTTGTGTATTATGCCGTGAGATCTCTAAACATGGTGTTATGGACCTTCCTCCCTCCTGTCTGCCGCCTCGTGGAGTCAGTGCCAGGGGCCCTGCTCCTTCACCGTGGCCATAGGTTGATTGCTCCCTTTAACCTCCAACCTGTGGATTCCCCTTGAAAAACCTAATTTTAACTTCTACTCCCATAGCCTTAGGGCAGCCTCCTCTCCCTCTCAGGTTGTTTTCACTGGCCCATGTTGACCATTTGTACAAATCACCTGTCCCACGTTGACCATTTGTACAAATCACCTGTCCCACTAACCTAGAGGATAGAGGTTAGAACAGGCAGGAGCTGGGGCTGATCCGGAGCCCCGGTGGAGAAAGTGGCAAATTTTACCCAGAGGGTACTGCCAATCCTCAGCCCGAGGCTGAAGCTGCATCCTTTTCTCCAGAGGACACACAAGATGCTCCCAAAGGCAAAATGATTATGCTGGGAGTCTGCGTACTCACTTGCATGCAATTAAACCTTCCAGAGCCAGTTTGTCCACATCATTCCACTGCTTAAAATCTCTCAGTGCCCCACAAGGGCTTCAGGGTAAGTCAGACTCCCTTTGTATCCCTTTGTGATCTGACGCCTGCCCACAACTCACCTCAGTTCTCACATTCCTGCCATGTCTAAGGTAGCAGTTGCATTCACCTCCAAACTCTCTCTCTCTCTCTCTCTCTCTCTCTCTCTCACTGTTGGCTTTGTTGGTACGCATTTTCCTGCTTGGTTTTCAGGATTCGCTGTGGACATTACTTCCTCTACCAATCCTTCCTTGACACCCTCAGGCAGAGCTGGGCCCGTGTCCTGCCACAGCCCTCTGAACACCTCAGTATCAGCGACCTCATCATTGCACTGTAATGATCTGTCTCTTGCACTAGGCTAAGCAACTTGAGGGCAGCAGAATATCTTTGATTGGTAATCCCAGCTTTAGGCACACACTAGGCACTCAATAAATACTCTCTGAATGAGGGCCAGGTAATAAGGGAGATATCCCAAAGTCTCTGTTCTTTGCTTTGGGCAAGTGGATCACGAAGCAAACACCAAAAAGTCACATAATGTCAAACTCTTCTCTCTGCCTGAATAAAGCCCACTCGTTTGTCAGGGCCCACCTTCAAGGAAGCCTTTCCTGACCCCAGGCCTAGGACGAGACCTTAGTACCTGCTGCATGTCTTCTTTACAGCGCTAATCACCAGGTAATTGCTGTAGGACTGTTTAATGCAGAGTTTCGTGGCAGTGGCACCATGAGTATTTGGGCTGGATACTTCTTTGTTGTGGGAGGCTGTTCTGTGCACTGCAGGATGTTTAACAGCATTGCTGACTTCTACCCACTACATGCCTGTAGCAACCCCACTCCAAGTTGTGACATCCAAAAAAAAAAAAGTCCCCAGACACTGTCAAATATCCCCCAGGGAGTAAAACTGCCTGATTGAGAACTGCTGGTCCAGTTAGAATGGGAGTTTCATGAGGCTGGTCCAGCTACCTGAGACCCCATGTCCTTAGTTCCTCAGGGCTTTGATGACCTCGCCCTGCAGTCATTCTTCTGTGCAGCTGATTTCCCCCATCCCCTGGACTGAGCCACACACTCCCTGAGAAGTGAGTCAAACCTTCCTTTCTATGAGAGTCTCCTCTCTGGGCTTATACCGCTTGCGGGCAGGGATTGCCACTTACTGGCTTCTGCACCTGCCAGTGCCCAGCCAGGCCTTGCTTTCAGGGTGGTCAGGAAATGACTACTGGGGGGACAAAACAAGGAAAAGCAGGGCAGGAGCTTCTTAGTGCTATGAGATGGCAGGTGCACAGTGACAGTCCTCCTTGACAGGGGTGACTTCTATTTTAAATTTTTTTATTTTTAGGAAGTTCAGACTTTATTAGGTCCCCTAAGGCTGGCCCTGGGGAAAGCCTTGGCTGCCTGCACAATCTTCCTAAGAGGAAGAGACGGTGAGGGAGGAGTAGTCTGGGGAGGGCTGGGCCCTGACCGAGGGGCCTGCAACCCGTCCCACTGACCAGCCTCCCCTCCTACTTGGCTCTGGCTCCTCTGGGATGATCACATGGTGAGAATCTGCTTTGAAGACACAAAGGGCTTCATGGAGGCTTCCAAGGCATGCTGGTAGTCCTGCAGTGGGACCTCGGCGCAGGCGGGGCCTGTGAGCTGCCCTTGGCGGATGAGATCGCAAAGTGTGAGGATCAGCGCCTTGAACTGGTCTGTGGGAAGTTGGAGGAAGTCAGACAGGGGACTAGCCACTGGGGCTTGGGGAGATGGCACATGGCTGCCCTGTGGGCAGGAATGGGCACTGAGCTCCTGTAAAGCCTTAAGAGCCTGGCTTTGCCAAGGATAGGGTGGCTGTGGAGGTAGCCTGGTCCCTGACTGTGTTCAGGACAGTGAGGGCCAGGGTGGGGACAGAGGAATATGGCAAGCGGCCCTAGGAGCTGATGGGCGGGCAGGCAGAGACGGCTCAGGCCCACAGAGCCTAACTGGGTGCAGCCAGGGTGCTGAATGGTGGGAGGGGCAGCATTACTTTGAGGCAGGGAAGCTGGAAGAGGCACAGGGAGGGAGCTGGGTGTGCCTGGCATGCCAACTGATGTGGAAAGAACTCGCTTTGCTCAGGGAAAGGAGCTCTCCCAGAGAGCCCAGGACTCCCAGATCCCCACAACATGAGGCCATCAACATCCTCTCCCTGGTCCTGCCTCCTGCTAAGGACCCAAAATGGTGCAGGCAGATGAGAAGTGAAGGCCTTGGCTGAGAAGTGTTTCTTCATAGATATAAATTCATTCAGCCTTCAAACCTAATCACATTTCCTGCTTAAAACACTTCAGTGGCTCCTCAATTGCCCTGAAGATAGAGTTTGAATGCTTTAAGTGTGTAATCTGGGCCCAACCCACCTGTCCAGCTTCCCAGCCCCAGCTCAGACCCAATGCTCCAGGTTGCTCAGAATCACCTGGGAGCCTGGAGAGTCGCGCTCTGTCTGTGATGGGCTTTTGCATGGGCTATGTTTCCACCACTCACACTAGCACTTTCTTCCCCTTCACTTGGATAGCTCCGTGTGGTTCTTCATTCACAGCTTGGGGTCACGCTCTGGGGAGCCAGTCCTCCCGGAGAGGAGCACGGTGTCCTGACTTGGGTTCCAGTCAGAGAGACAGTTCACATCCTGGCTGCACCACTCCCTAGGTGGGGTGACCTTGGGCAAGCTACTTAACCACTCTGAACCTCGATTTCTTCCTCTGTCAAACAGGGCTAACAAGAGTTTAAACTTAAGTTTAAACTGAGGCAGAGATTAGCAACTTGCCCAAGGGCCCACCACTGAGGCTGGGTAGAACCTCTACCCGGTAATGGTGGAGGCAGGATTTGAACCCAGGCAGGCAGGCTCCAGAGTCTGTCCTCTTCACCTGGCTGTCTTCCCCACTGTTGGCTCCTCAGGACGGGGGCAGTGTCTGTCTTGTTTGACATTGTGCCCCCAAGGACTAACCCAGTTTAGTCTAGTAACTATTTGCTGACTGCAGCTGGGGTTGGAGGCTATTTGCCTGGATCCTGTTGTGGGGCTGGGGACCCAGTCACTTCTCTAGGGCTCAGAGTGGCTAGTCACTTCTGCAGCCATTCTTAGGCACTGCCCTCTCCTGTGACCCTTGGCATTGGGGCTATCCACTCACCTGGACTGTGGTTCTTCTTCCACTGGGACAACCAAAAGCCCCGAAGTTTGAGATCCTTAAAAATGAGCAGGCTCTGTGGACATAGGAAGCACATACTGGGCTCTGAGGGCAAGAACTTCAGGCACCACCTAATGGCACAGATTCCCCTCAAGCACAGGGGCATCGCCTGAGTTTACACAGCTGAGATGTCCGGGCCCCTGTCTCCAGGCATGCCTCCCCGGCCAGCTTACCACAGAGGCTATGATGGGCTGCTTGGCCATCCCCCCATAGGTCACCATGGTTCCTCCAGGCCTGAGGAGTCCAAAGAGAACAAAGAGTGGGCACAGAGACAGAGCCCTTCTTGAACCTGTCACGGCGCTTCTATTCCAACCCTGAGTCCTAAACCTTGCTCTCAGAATCGCTGGGAAGGGTTCAAAAATACAGATTCATAGGCCTAACCCCAGACCTAATAAATCAGGAGGCAAGAATGTACATTAAAAACAACATACACATACACCCCACACACCGTCCAGACGACCTGGATGTTCAGCCAGGGTTGGGAACCCACTGATCTAACCCGCCCAGCCAGGCTTTAAGTGTTCCAAAGAAACACACTCTACAGAGAAGTGCTCAGGAGCTGAGTTCAGCGCTGGCTCCACTCCCACTTACAGGAGCGTGGACCTTGGACAACGCACTGAAAACAGACCAGACCTCATTTGCTCATTCTGAGGATCAACTCAATGAAACAGTCCTACAGACAGGCATGATGTGGACAGTGAAGGGGACAATGACAAGTGTCCTCTCACCACAGGAGATGCCTTGTTAGTACCTATTCTCTGATGTCCCCCCGCCCCCCACCAGCAGTCCAACAGGAGTGAGGCTCATAGAATTTTTAGAAGTTAATAAGCTAGACTAATCCCTGGCTCTTTTAAGAGTCTATTGATCAAGGATGACCTTAGGCACATTTTGGGACAGCATGAGGAAGACTTTGGAAACTACCAAGTGGAAGAAGCTGCTATGTGGGGCACATAACTATTCCTGAGGCTGCTGCGTAGTTTGGTGTTAAGTATCCTTCAACTGCCACCTGCTCTAGAAAGTAGCGCCTGGGAATTAGGCCCTCTCTCCTCTGTGTCCCCACTGCACTTGGTCTAATCAGACTCGCTAACATGTACTGAATGTCTGCTATGTGTCAGGCACAGTTCTAAGCATTTTACATGTGTTGTCTCTGTGAATCCTAACAGCAACCCCAAGGGAGCACTTTTATTTTATTTTATTTTATTTTTTTTGAGACAGAGTCTCACTCTGTTGCCCGGGCTAGAGTGTCGTGGCATCAGCCTAGCTCACAGCAACCTCAAACTCCTGGGCTCAAGCAATCCTCCCAAAGGAGCACTTTTAATGTCTTCATCTTGCAGATGAGAAAGCTGAAGCTGAAGCCCATCCCCTATTTGTACAGCGATTTGTACATCATCTTAGTGTTCCTCGGATTAACCTTCGGAGGCAGAAGGGATTTATCTCACTCCCATTTTACAGATGAAGGGGCTGAGGCCTAGGTCATTTTTCACGTATTACCTAACTTTTCAGCTAGTAAGTAGCAGAGCTGGGGCTTGAACCTAGCCATTCTGACTCTAACGCCTACACACGTAACCACCTAACAATGTTTCATCCACAGGCTGCCTGAGGAGGGCTGAAGAGGTGTGCTGTGGAGTCAAGCAAACTTGGGTCAAGCCTGGCTCTCCTGCTGACTAGACCTTAGGCCAAGTACTTACCCTCTCTGGGCCTCATTTTCTTTAAGTATAAAATGGAGACCGGACCCCACATCTAGAGGTTGTGGGAGGGGTAGGCCAAGCACTGTACAAGGTCTGGCACATGGTAAATGCTCAGTGATTCTCATGACAGCTCTTTGGCAACGTGACTCATCTGCCTGTCTAGCTTGTGCATTCTCAGAGGTTACCTTAGCGTCCCAGCCATCTCTGCACTTGGTATCTAGTGAGTGCTCGCACATATGTGTTAAATGAATCAATGTTGTTGAGAGGATTGTTGCTTTAGTTGGGAAGTGTCTTTTCAGGCCACCCTCCAGCTCCAGAAGTTTATATTAAAGGAAAGAAGAACGGAAGGACACGTGTCACTAACACTGTCAATGGTGCTTATCTCCCTTAGTGGTGGGATGATAGGTAACTTTTATGCTTAAGTTTTCCTTTGTATTTTTACATGCTTTCAAAATGTTTTGTAATAAGCATAATGTTACCTCTAAATTAGAATCTATTTTTAAAAGCTCATACAAATTTTAAAAGCTCATAAGCTAGGATTAAGTGACTTTTTAAGATGCCCTAGGTTATGAATCCCTGGCCATTTCCCTGTTGCAGACAGCTTTAGCAATCTACTTCTGGGGTCCCTTGGAAAAATAAAGCTGGACAGACCTCTCAGTAGTCTACAAAGGAGGAGGCTGAGAAATAATTGCCCCGATAGCTAGATGACTTTGTTCCTACTCAATGTCGTGCTGACCTGGCCTTGGCTGCCATTGCCACTGGGACTTGGTCACTTGATGGTCCTCCCAGCTAAAGATCTGGAGAACTCCAGCGAGCTGGACCCGCAGGGCTGAGGGACTTACGCTAACTGCCGCAGCAGCTCTGTGGAGCTCTTCCCGCCGACACAGTTTAGAGCAAGCCGTGGCTGGGGCACGTCCTGAAAAACAAGGAACCTGCAGTGAGGGAGTCACCTCTCTACATGCAGGGTCTGAAGCTTGCCACAAACAGTACTTCCCTGGCCGGGGTTGTGTTAGGTGGAGGGAGTGAAGAAAATGGGATGTTTGTGCCTTCAAACTCGCTTTTTTCTCTGCCTAGGAAGGGCCTTTCCTATTGTCCATTTTAGAACCTGGTTCAAAACTCAGTTCCTCTGGGAAAAAATAGGCAAAGAGCATTTATGCTCAGTTTCAATGGACTTCAGCTCCCTGAGTGTGCCTCTTGTCAGTACTTATGACTCAGTTTAATAATAATAAGCAGTGCTAATCTACTGCTTCAGAGTTTGTAAGAGGCATGTGTTCTTGAGTGAGTATATGTCTTTGGTCCTTCCAGATAGTTCAGTGCAAACAGGCTGACAGGATTTGGTCACCTAATCGTGTTGGGGGTGGATGTTTCAGAAGGTTAAGAGGCTTTGAGTTGAGAGAAACCTGAGGCCAGTCCTGACTCTACCACTTCTGACTATGTGGTCTCGGTCAAGACCTTTATCTCTTCTGAGTCTTGGTTTCCTCATCTATAAAACAGATAACAACTCCTTTGTAGAGCTTTTGTGGGGATTATCAGATATAACATAAAGCAGGTGCTTAGGAAACGTTACTTCTTTTCTTTCTCTTCTCTCTCTGTGCCTCTGTTTCCCAGGTCCTCTTCCTAACTCCGGGAGTCATACCCACTGTGACACCACAAATGTTTAAAACTGCAAATCATACAGGGTTTCCTAAACTCTCTTTCTCCTGCCTCCTTCACAGCATCTGGGCGCTTGATGCTGCTCCAGCTAAGGGGAATGGGCTTTGCCTGTCCCAGAAGAGGAAAGGGAGGTTTTCAGAGAAAAATGAGGGTGCCAGTTCCCAGCTTTTCTTTTTTTTTTTTGGAGACAGAGTCTCACTTTGTCACGTGGGCTAGAGCACAATGGCATCACCATGGCTCACTGCAACCTCAGACTCCTGGGCTCAAGTAATCCTCCTGCCTCAGCCTCCTGAGTAGGCCTACAGGCGTGCACCATCACGCCTGGCTTATTTTTTTCTATTTTTAGTAGAGATGGGGTCTCGCTCTTGCTCAGGCTGGTCTCAAACTCCTGACCTCAAGCAATCCTCTCACCTCAGCCTCCCAAAGTGCTAGGATTACAGGTGTGAGGCACCGCACCTGGCCTCCTAGGTACCTTAAAGATGTTTTTCATCTCAGGCCTTCTTAGCTCCTCCTCTGTGACGACGTGCTCAGCCCCCAGACTCTTGAGTCTTTCGGTCAGTTTCTGGATGTCAGGTCTGGAAACCAAACACAATCCAAGGTCCCTGGTCACACCTGCTGGCTGTGTCCACCAAAGGCTCCCTGGACCTCTCCCCATAGCTGTGAAAACCCACGTTTCTTTTTGCATGAAGCTGGGATTGGGTTTAAGCCAGGTCTTGAGCAGGGATCAGCCACCTAATTTCATCAGGCTGCAACAGTTTCCTCACAGGCACAAGACAGCTAGACTGGGTGGCTTCTACAGCCCCTGCAAGCTCAAGGATGCTAGAAACCATCTGTGCCATCTGAGAAGTCAGTTCACTTCCTGATTTCTTCTACTGAAACGACAAACTCCATTTCCTTTGCCCCCTCTTTTCAAGGGGCTCTTCCAAGTGTTGTGCAAACACTCTAGCCCAGGAGTGGCTCTGGGCCTCTTTGGCTAAGGCAAGCAGAATAATTTTTGTTAGCACAGCTGAGGGGATGGGGAACTGAAGCGAGATCAATTCTCCTACTAAGACTGGACGTCCAAGACAGACACAGCCACATTTGTGGACAACGAGGCTTAAAGGAACTGGATGATATGATGGAAACAGTAAGTGAGGAAACAAAATCTGCCTCTGACTTGCTGTGTCTTCACGAGCAAGTTGCTTCTTCTCTCTGAAACTTGACAAACTTGCCCCCTCCCTCACATCTATATTTAGTGCACTTTAAAGTACCACACAAATGCAAAGGGAAAAGAAAGGGCCTTGCGTCAGACAGTTCACAGAAAGAATAACATAGTTCCGAACATTCCCAAATATGAACTACGGTTTTGAAAACAGGGGGTTGTCTCAAGTCAAGAGTCTCAAAAACTCTTAGCTGTTCAGTAAGGGCAGTTTCCACCTCCTTCCTGCCCTCTTTTTACATTTGAGATTCACTCATTCTATAGCCAAAAGCCACCTGGACTTCATTCCTGGGGGCTGACTCATCTGTCTCGGCTGCCAGCGGTTAGTGAACCATAAAGGCGCCAGTCTATGGCTATGCAAGGGCGCCACCTGGTGGCCACATGGGCAGGTGTGAGGTGGAAAGGCCCAAGTTGTGGTCTGGCATTAGGCTCCCCACGTACCTGTCTCGGACCACGTTGATGGTTCTCAGGCCCAAGGCTGCAGCGATCTGGATGACTGCTTGTCCCACTCCACTGTTGGATGCATTCTGGATGACAGAATCCCCTGTGGAGCCAGGAAGAGACCCAAGTCAAGCCCTGTGGGTCTGTAATGTGTCAAGGGTTCCCAGCCTGGGATTCTATTATAGGGCAAGAGATGGAGTCCTCAGGCTCAAAAGGGCCCGAGACCCCAGCTGCTGAGCCATCTCAGACCTTGCACTGTTGCTCACTGTTCCCCTGGTGCCTCCCAAACTTCCACAACACCCACGATGCCTCCCAGGACTTGGCGACTCAGCAACTACCGCGGACATAATTTAGACCCTGCTATGTAAAGGCTTTATATCCTTCATCATCCTCCCAACTCTTATGTCCTCAAGTCTCTGCATAGGTTATTTCCTTGGTTTTCAATGTTTTCTTCCTTCTCTTTTCCTTCATTTTGAAATCCTATATATCCTTTGAAGCACAGCTCAAGTGTGCCTTCCTTTATGAAGCTTCCTGGATTCTTCCCTCTACATGCGCCCATGGTGCCCTTGGGCCTCTCTGTTAATGCCATGGCCTGCCTTGTCCTATACTTGCTGTGTACGGTCCATTTCCATCAGTAGCTTGCAGCTTCCTGAGGGAAGGGCCATGCCTTATTCCCCTCTGTACTGTTTAATAAAGGGGCACTGCCTTGAAATGGTACTAGAGCCACACTGCACAAACCGGCAGCCCTCGAAACAGGGTCCTATTAACAGTTTTATGGTCAAAGCCCAGGTGTAGCTTTGGAATCAGCCAATAGAGAAGGCAGTGTGGCATGTTGGGAAAAATGTGGGTTCTGGAACAAGATGGACCTGGGTGTGAGTCCCAGCTTCACAGATGACTGTAACTAAATGAGATGGGACAAATCATGACCTTTTTGAACTTCAGTTTCCTCCCCATAAAACAGGAGTCCTAGGATCATCGATCAGGGAGCCCCTCATGAGAGTGAAATGCATCGTGTCCAGGAAAGTGTTCTGTTAACTTTGAAATGCCATCTGGTTTTTGAGCGGCAGCAGGGATTTCGCAGTGGGCCAGAACTAGAGGCCGAGGACTTCCTGGAAGAAGAATGCCCGTCTTCCTTAGCCAGAGGTCAGCATGCAGGCTGTCACCCCTTAGTGGATTATGACTCAATCTAGTAGGTTGCAAGCAGCCTTTTTTTAAAGTTAAAATTGAGGAGAATATATAAAAAGTAACGGTGCATCATTGTACATAGTAAGGGTAAATATTGTTTCAAGAAACTTTGGTTTCTATTATATTAATATATATCTTCACATATGTATATACTGGATTATAATGTAAAATGTAATTCTTACTATGAATCAAGATCCTAAGTTTAACACTGATCTAGCTCATGCCACATCAGCGCTGAGGCAGAAAAGTAGAGAGATGCACAGTGGGCACTTACGCTGGGTGGTGTCAGAACCCTCAGATCTGTCCACCACAGCTGCAGCCCAAATCAGAGGTGCTTAAGGGGATGAGATGCAGGCGACCAAAGTGTCTGCTGCACTGGGACTCCAGCAAAGGTCCCTGGTCATACCTACTGGCTTTCTCCACTGATGGCTCCCAGGACCCTCTGCCACAGTGGGGAGAAACCATGTTTCCCTTCATGGGAAGCTGGGATAGGCTTTTAGCCAGGCCTTGGGCAATGGTTGATCACCCAATTTCATCATACTCCAACAGCTCTTGGCCTCAGATTCCTCACTGGCATGAGAGAGGTAGCTTGGGTGATTTCTACAGCCCCTGCCAGCTCACAGATATGCATAGTGTGCAGGGGAAGCCGAGGAGGTCAATGGCCCTTGGGGCACCCCTCAAGCAATGGGGGATGAGAGTCGGTGGAAAACTGGCCCAGCCTCCTGTTGTTTAAGGGTTAATTCTGCAGTAGGTTCGATGAAGATCTTCAGAGGGTCCCCAGCAGGACTGAGCAATAGTTGCCCAGTGCAGCACCAGCCTTCACAGGCTCTGCCTCCATCCGTCTCACTCTCCCTACTCGGCTCACTCCTGCTTCCTGGGGTCACTGCCCAAACGTTGCCCCCAGTCCTGCTTTCAGGCTCTGCTTTCAGGGGAGCCCCAACAAAACACCTGGCTTTGTCATTTACTCACTGAGTGACCTCATGCAAACAGTTTACCTCTCTGGACCTCAGCTTCCCCGTTTATAAAAAGGACGAAGAATAAAAGCAGCTGCACTGTATGCCGGGAACTGTGCTATGTGCTAGGTTGCAGTGTTCCATGAACCTCGGGGCTCTTTATTCTCCACTTTACAGAGGAAAAAATCCGATGATGTGAGAGGTGAATTCACAGTTAGGAAAAGGTGAAGCTTGAGGTCAGACCTGGGTTGTCTGCCTAGGGCTTGAACTCTTAACCAGCGGTGATGGCGACCTCACTGCACTGCTTTGAAGATTTAACGCACCCAGTGGGGATAATGCCTGTGAAGGCGCTTACGTGAACTGGAAAGTGCTACGTAAATGCTGAGTGGGATTATTAACACTAAGTTCAGCGTTTTACTGAAAACACAGAGGCTGTGCCTGTCTTGTCTGGCTTTGTGTCCCTAGAGCTTAGCCCAGCTCAACACATTTTTGCTGAGTGACAGAATTCCATCCCAAGCTCTAGGGAATGTGACCCCTTAGCAGTTTTCAAGAGCGTACTCCTCATGAGGTTTCAGCATGTTTTCTAGGAACCAAGCTAACATCTTTCCAAGTGAAAGCTACAGCAACACACTCACCCAGGTTAGGGGACCATCACCCCCACAGACCCCTCACCGGCAAGTTCCCGCGGCCTCAGGGTCAGGATTTGGGCTGCGCCCCAGTTGGGAGACCCGGGCCTGCTCTCCCACTTGCAGGTCCCTACCTGGCTGCAGCTGCTCAAAGTCCACCAACATCCTGTAGGCCGTGCAGGGATTGACGCTCAGGGTGGCAGCACTCTGAAGAGGGATGTCACTTGGAACTCCGATCAGTGCTTCCTCGCTGAACACAGCCTCAGTCCGCCAGGTTCCTGAGTCAGGGGATGAGCCCAGGATCACAAGGAGGGACCCTTCTGCACACCCAACCCCAGCTCACCCTCCTCAGTGGATGGGCGTCTAGGACAGCAGACTCTGAGTAATGCTTAGAGGAAAAAAAAAATGGAAGTTCCTTTTCGTGTCTTTGAGTTCTCATGATAATTATATAAGGTAGCCTGTTACTCCCATTAAAAACTGTGGTAAGGGCAGTTCAGAAGAGGTTGCCTCTCTGAGTTACCATTAGATTTCACTAAGTTTACAGTGCAGGTGGCTAATGACCTCATACTACTGCACTCTGGAGGCAAACTACTGTGGCAGCATCACCACCAGGGCAAGAGAAGCTGAGAAAGCCCCCTTTCCCTGCGCAGCCCTCATTCTGCTCATCCAGGGCAGGCTGGCTTGGGTGGTCTTATGGAAGAACGCATGAAAGTAGAAGTTACTCTAATATGTAAATGATACCAGCAGGAACCGCCTGACTCGCCTCCTTCAAGAGCTGTTGTACAAATCAAATGAGATATGGGAAATGAAAGAACTCCGTAAGCTGAAAAGGAATGACCACAAAGCTCCATCCAACATTCTAGTTCCAGACAAAAGAATCACAGAATGTTAATACTGGGAAGGCCCCTATCGAATATCAAGTTTGAACTCCTCATGTAACAGGGGAGGAAACTGAGGCAGTGACTTGCCCAAAGCCACCTGGCTGATCTAGGCAGACTTGGAGGTGGAACCTGGGTATCGGGGCTGCCCCCTTACATCCTGTGCCTACACTGGCCAGGCACTTGAACCACACACGTGTTCCTTACTTTCATTCTAGTGGAGCAGAACAGGTGAAAACAAGCAAGCAGATACAGTAATTATAAGTTACAAAGAGACAGTAACAGTGAGAAAATTACCTTATTTCTTAAAATTTTTATTTTTTAGAGACAGGGTCTCATTCTGTTGTCCATGCTAGAGTGCAGTGGCACGATTGTAGCTCACTGCAGCTTCTAACTCCTGGGCTCAAGTGATCCTCCTACCTCAGCTTCCCAAAGCACTGGGATTACAGGCATGAACCACCATGCCTGGCCAAGAATTACTTTCTCTTTCTCTTTCTTTTTTTTAAAATTCTCACCTATTTTATGTGGGACAATTGGCTGACAATTACTTTAGATAGGAGTCAAGAATGGCTCTTCTGAGGGGTGACAAGCTAAGAGTGAGAGGATAGAGATGCTAACCATTCAGAGAGCGCGCAGACCGTCCATGCCGAGGAAGAAGCGTATGCAAAGACTCGGAGGCAGGACAGATAGAGGAATGGGACGGGAAGAATCCACACGGGAGGGAGGGCAAAGAGTGATGGGAAGAGTGGCTTGAGATGTGGCTGACGTGGCAGGGCCAGATGAATGTCAGACTTTCATGATCGTGCCCCACAGTAACCGTGAGTTCCATGTCGATTGCTAACATATACATATATGAATATACATGTAACAGAAGCCTACGTTTCATAGAACAATATTTACTCTTACCATATATGATATACTCTATTTTTTATTCTACTCTGCTCAATTTTAGTAAAAAAAAAAAATGCTGTTTGCAACCCACTAGATTTGTTTCACTAATGGGCTACAACTCATAGTCTGGAAACACAAGGCTCAGCTCAGGGGTCATGGTATGGAGGAGAGTGGATCTTATTTTAGTGAAGGGGAAGCATCTAATGATCTTTAAGAGGAGGATGGGGTGATCTGATGTAAGCTTTAAGATCACCTGGCCAGGCGCAGTGGCTCATGCCTGTACCCAAGAGCCTAGCACTTTGGGAGGCCAAGGCAGGAGGATTGCTTGAGGCGAGGAGTTTTAGACCAGCCTGGGCAATAGTGCGACTCTGTCTCTACAAGAAATAAAAAAATTAGTTAGGCATGGTGGCACATGCCTGTAGTCCCAGCTACTTGGGAGGCTGAGGTGGGAGGATCTTCTGAGTCCCAGAGTTTGAGGTTGCAGTGTGCTATGATGATGCCACTGCATTCTAGCCGGGCAACAGAGTGAGATGCTGCCTCAAAAAAAAAAAAAAAAAAATCACTTTGTTGTTGGGTAGAAAAGACTGTGGGGTGCAGAGGGGCAGGTGGTAGTGCGAGGCCAATCAGGAGGTGTTCACAAGGGTCCGGGTACGAGATGATGGCTGCCTAGACCAGGACTTTGGCAGGGGGGGTTGAGGAAGATGGATTCAAGTTTTGTTTTGAAGACAGAAGCAACAGGATTTAGTGAGGATTAGGTGAGAGGGACAGGTCCACGCTCATGCAGGCAGGATCCTGTATGGCGAAGGGGTGAAGATGATGGGCCTCAGAGTCAGACAGGATCCAGCCTTGGCTTCGCTATGCACTCACTACATCACCTTAGGGAAATTGCTTGGAGCCTTCTTGGCTCAGACCAGTGGCTGTAGTGTCTCAGGGGCTCTTGGCCTACACTTCCGAAGCTCTTGGGTATGCCCACTCGCTAGCCAGTTGCTGGGATTCTAAGAGTATCCTGCCACCATGTGGTCCAGCTATGGGAGGTAGGGGGCAGCCTAGGCAATTACTAATTGTGCTGCAGGAGGCGGGAAACGATGTGGGCTTTAGGGACTAGCAACTGAGGAGGGGAGGCAGGAACACTCTTTATTAAGGGCTATGTCAATCCCACAGTAGGTCTGTGGCTGAGAAAATCAGAGACTGAGAAGTTGAAGGATTCCTCTGGAATCCAGGAGGTGCCTTGGCATTCTCTGGGCTTCACCCATCTTGGTCTCCAAATCTTCACAATCGTCTCTCCCATTCATCTAAGCTAACATTTACTGCACTCTACTCTGCACCACATGCTTGGTGCAGGGCTTTCTACGCATGAAATCAAGGATGTTTTCTAATTCCCTTTATGTCATGACAATAGAAATCCAGCCCCTGACGTGGATTTCTGGGGCTTAGCAGTCCCTAATCCTCTTCTCAAGAGAGTCTGGGTGGGAGGGGGGCAGTGCCCATGGTCATCGACAAGGGCTTTCAGGGTTTTAAGTAGAAACCCTTAGGCTTTGGAGTTGGAGAGACTGGCTCTGCCACTCACTAGAGTGTGACTTTGAATTATCACTTCACTTTTTTTGAGTTTCAGTTTTCTTGATCTATGAAATACAGAGAGTAGCACTTATGTCGTGGTGTGAAGATTAAACTAAATGACATTTGTACAGAGACTATCACTGTGTCTAGTACACAGTAGGTGTGTAACACGTGTTGCTTTCTTTTATTGATCCTGATTCCCAGGCCCTAGCTCTGAGGACACCCATTCCTCACTCATGTGCCACTGACCTTAACCACCTCCATCATCTAATGTGGGGGTCATCTAATGTGGGGGTCAGCAAACTATGGCCCGTGGGCCAAATCTGGTTTACCACCTGTTTTTGTAAATAAAGTTTTATTGGAACACAGCCATGCTCACTTGTTTACGTATTGTCTGTGGCTGTTTACAACGGCAGAGTTGGGTAGTCACAACAAAGATGGTACGACCTGCATAGCCTAAAATACTTACTGTTTGGCCCTTTAAGAAAAAAGTTTTCAATTGATCTACTGCATACAGAAGTTGAGCATTTGCAAAGATCACTGCATATATTCTCTCAGTTGAGCTGCAGAAGAGTTTGTTGAGATTTGCAAGGCAGTGACTATTAGCTCCATTACACAGATGAAAAAACTGAGGCTCAAAATAGTTGTGACTTAAACAAGGTTATACAGAGGAGCTGGAAGGAGAATCTGTATCTGATTCCCAGGCCAGTGCTCCTTCTACTGACCTGTGCTGCCTCAGGAAGGTTTAGTGTATTTTCCAGTGAGAAAGTCAGTTGGCAAAAATCCGGCCACACTCTCTGGCCCAGCCTTCCCTGAGACTGGCTGCATGAGGGAAAAAGCTGGCTATGGGTACAGCAACAGCTGGGCAGCTCAGTACCATGAAAAATAAACAAGATCTGGCCAGTTGAGGACTTACATGTTTAATGGTTGCCATTCTTACTAAACTGCAGTCTCTGTGAGAAGACCATGTCTGTTCACTGCTGTACCCGAGTTCCCAGCATGCTTGCAGATACTCGCAAAATGTTTACTGAATAAAATAGGTTAATTATAGTCCTCACAATTATAAAATCCTCATCCTATCCAACTGGTATGCTGCTTAAAAGACCCACCTTTTCTCCAGGGAGGAATCCCTGTTCTGGCCAACACCACCACATATACAACGACCTGCAAACGTCCTTTATTCTTCTCCTCTCCAAACTGAAAGTATTACCAAGTTGTCTTACTTTAGTAGCTCTTGAATCCACTCCCTTTTCTGCAGGCCCAGGGCACTGTCTTGTTCAGACCTTTGTCATCTGAAGCCCAAACTGTTTGCCTGCCTCCTCACTGGCTTCCTGCCTCCACACTCTGCCTTTCCCGACCAGTCTCTGCATCGCACAAATCTGATCAAATCATTCCTCTCCTGAACTCTCTATCGGGACCCCTCTGCCTGTGGATGCAGGCTCTCCATGTCCCAGCCTCCGCTGACCTCTCCAGCTCCATCTCGCCTCTCCCACTAACACCCACGACCCAGTCACACTGAGCTACCTGTCTCTGACGGTGCTGTGCCTTCTCTTGCCACCTTACCTGTGCACATGCTATGCTTCCTGTCTGGGAAGCCCCTCCTCACCTAGCCTATTGGCTGCACTTCTAGTAGGTTTTCCAGACTGAGTTCAAGTATTATTTCTTTGGGAAGCCTTTTCTAATGCTTCTCAAGATAAGGCACTGTCAACTTTGTGTGTCCACCCTGTGATTACAGCACTTGTAATATTGTATTGTATTAAGTGTTGTTTTTCTATTCCCGGCCTCCCATCCCAGCCAAGAGCACTCTGAGGGCAGGAACTGTGTCTGATCCATTTTGGTGTGACCTTCAGTCAGCACAGGGACTGGCCCAAAGCACGGGCATCAGTACTTAGTAAGTTCTTGCAGCTCTCAATCTGCTCAGATGGCTGGGCTCTTTCACTGCCAGGTGGGTGTAGGAGAGGATAGAGCCATTCTTGACAGCTTCCCTGATCTCAGAGAAGCAAAAGAGCTTGAAGGAGACCCCAGTTATTGTTTTGTTCTGTCTAGTATCTTTTTCTTTCTACAAGTGCTCCTACCTAACCTCTGGGGCTGTCAACCACAAGGCCCCACCCTCTATATTACAGAGGTGGGCAAGACAATCAGAGCAACTGGAGTGGCCCAACCCCATCTCCCAGGTGATGGGTTCGAGGCCCACCCGGGGCCATTCTGGTGGATGGATATGGTTGTGCTGGACATGATTGTGGAGGATGTACTCATTTGTACTCATCTGAGAACATCTCAGGATAATATAAATCTCAGGCTGCTGGTGCCATCTATGAGAGGTATGTCTCAGAGTAGATTTGAATCTCAGCTCCACCACTTACTGGCTGGGTAACCCCAAGCAATTTGCTTAATACTTTACGTTTATTGTTGTATCATCTGCAAAATGGGACTAGTAATGTATTGACCTCACATTGTGGGAATAATTGAGTTAATATATGTAAAGTGCTTAGAATGGTGCATGGCACAAAGAAAGTGGCTAATAAATATCTGTTGCTATGATTATATCACTATATGGGGAGATCCCATCTGAGAATTAGTAAGAAAAAGAGCTCTGACTACACTGAGTTCCTAGATCCAGCTGAACCTGAAGCTTTCCATCTCTTAGACTTCCCAGTTCCACAAATCAATTAACTGCTTCTTCCTTTTCTTTTTTTCCCCTTCTTTTCTTCCCTCCCTCCCTCCTTCCTCCCACGTTTCCTTCCTTCCTTGACATAGGGTCTCACTCTGTTGCCTAGGCTAGAGTGCAGTGGCATCATCACAGCTCACTGCAACCTCAAACTCCTGGGCTCAAGTGATCCTCCTGCCTCAGCTTCCCAAGTAGCTGGACCACAGACGCACACAACCATGTCCAGCTAATTTTTTTATTTTTTGTAGAGGCAGTTCTCACTCTTGCAGATTGGTCTCAAACTCCTGGGCTCAAGCAATCCTCCTGCCTCAGCCTCCCAAAGGCTGGGATTACAGGCATGTGCTACCACACCTGGCCTATTACTAAGTCCGTATACTTGCCTCCAGTAGGAGTGGCAGCTGAGCAAGGAGAGCAGAATTCTGTTTCTTTGCTCTGGGCGTGATGTACCTGCATTTCCATCTCCTCAGGCCCACGCTGATTGGAGCTATAATTCTCTGCATCCCTATATCCCTAAATTCCTGCCATATGGGGCGAGACAGTACAAATAAGATAGTCCCTGCCATCCAGGAGGTTCATATCTCATTGAAGAAATCTCTAAACCAATAACCAATAATAGAGGGAGTGCTACAAATTCACAGGAAGCAGAGGGCATTTCTGGCTCCTATGTGTGTGCATGTGTATGTATGAGAGAGAGAAACAGTCGTGGGGAAGGATCAGAAAATTCCTCATGGAGGAAGCTTCACTGGACTGGACCTCTGATGCATAAATTTTGTTAGATAGGGATGAGCCAAAAATCATTTCATGTGGAGGAAGTAAAAGGAGTAAAGACACAAAGGTGAGATTGGGAAATGGTGGAAAATCCCTTGTAGCCTCAGCAGAGGGTGGGGATTGCATGGGTGGGGATTGCATGAGGGAGAAAGTAAGTCCAAAAGGTAGACTAGGGCCATATGGGGTGAGGCCCTGCAAAAATCAGCCTAAGGAGTAGGATTTTCTTTGACATATAATAAGTCATTGCTGAGTTCAGTCCAGTGTTAGGACCCTCTGGGTTATAATTTACAGAGACCCAACTCAAACTTGCTTTGGAAAAACAGACAAATAAAACCTGCACCGCTTAGTTACACTGAGCCAATGAGTGGACGTCTACAGAGTGGGTGAAATAGAATCTGGAAAAATGAAAAGGCTGCTGACACCTGGAGAAACTCACCCAAACCGGCATTTGCTGGAATCACCCAGTCTCCTGGCTTCAACCTAGTTACCTTGCTGCCCACGGCCACCACCTGTCCGACACCTTCGTTCCCTCCAACAGCAGGCAGCTTGGGAAGGAGGCCGTAGTTTCCTGAGGGCGAAGAGCATAAAGGGTCAGCCAGTGAAGTCTGGGCAGTGAAAGAGCACGGAGTTTGGACTCTGCCTGTGACTAGCTGTCTGCCTAACCAACCTGGAGCCTTAGCTTCCTTGTCTGTATAGGGGGATAATACTCTTCCGTGTTCATGGTGACTACGGGGATCAGATAACATACAAAATGAGCCCAGCATGTCGCAGGCACTTCACAATGGTTGGCTTATTCCCCACTGCAATCTTCCTAACTCTCAAAAAGCCTCATATTCCAGAGAAGGGAGGCCAGGGAGGGCTGACACAGTCTGCAGACAGCTCATCTGGAGAACAGCTGTTGCTAATCACAGGAATTTCACACCCACACCTGAGGAGGAATGAAAACGAGGTGGCAGCTGAGCAAAAAAGCCAATTAACATAAGCCACAGAGACCAAGGTTACCTTGGATCATATTTATGTCAGATGGATTGATAGGGGCCGCCAGCATCTTCACACGGACGTCTGATCCTCCCACAGCAGCTAGCTCCAGGTTCTTCAGTCTAAGCACAAAGCCAAAAGAGAGATGTTAATGTCACCCAGGCCAGACTGGGCGTCTTTCACTCAAATCATCTCCCCAAAGTAGGTCAGGCAGCATTTTTGAGCTGCCATGTGTGCCCAGGAATTAGGGCTCTGGTATAAAAGAGAGGTGCTACAGAAAATTAGCAGAGGATACAGGTTGACTCTCTCGCTAACTGCTGGTGGATAATCCCTAGTGGCCTCTCAACCCCGCTGCATACTCTGGGACAGGAAACCTCTGCTGGCCTGGATTAGCCTTGTGTTTCCCAAAACTTGCTTGGTTGTAATAATCACTAAGCGTGCTCACTCATAGAGACTCTCAAGTTCCACTCTGACCTGAACCAGAACCTCCAGATGAGGGCACCCCAGTAGCTCTTATGAACAGGCAACGCTGAGACCCAGGCTAGCCCGCTGTCCTCCACCTGTTTGGTTTTTGTTGCCCCTAACACATATGGGGAGAGGAAACATTTCCATTACTCGTGGAGAGGGTGGGGAAATGGAGAGATGGCCTACACAGTTCAGAAAGAACACCTGGGTGGCTGTGATTCACCCCGAGTGACGTCCCTCCTGGAGAACCCTTGTCTGCCAGAAAGAACGCTGGGCAGAGAGCTACAGGTCTTGGGTATAAAGCTCCACCACAGGACAGCTGGGCCACTGCTGCCAAGTCTCTGCTCTGCTCTAGGCCTGTTTCTCAATTTGTAAAATGGAGGAGGGGGTGGTTTGGACTTGATCCCTTCCACGAGCTTTTCCCATGTGCAGTCTGTGGTAACTCCCTTTGAGGGGCTTGGACATCATGGTACCAAAGTCTTTATCCCACTAAAACTTTGCTTAATGGGCAAAACCTGCCAGAGGGTCTTTGAGGCTTAATGATAATGTCCATGTGTTACTTTTGTTATTAAAAAAAGTTTTTTTAAGACAAGGAGACCTGCCAACCAGATAGCACTGATTGGTGTACTAGACTCATGGGTCCTATGACTTTTTAATCACCAGAGGCTCCTTTTCTTTCTCCACACCTCTAAGACTTCATGTTTGCAATGCTTCTGTCTGCCCAAATGCACTTAGTAATAATTCTTATCATTTTTACTTACCAAAGACACACATAACTGCCAACCAGAGCTTTTTAGCATAAGGTAACAGCATCACCACACTAAGCTGATGTAATCCCACCCACTTCCTGCAGGAATCCTACCTTTGAATTATACCTGAGGCTTGATCCTAGGGTAAAAGTGTGATTTTCGGACAGGCGTGGTGGCTCATGACTGTAATCCCAGCACTCTGGGAGGCTGAGGCCAGAGGATTGCTTGAGCTCAGGAGTTGGAGACCAGCCTGAGCAACCAGCCTGAACAAGAATGAGACCCCATCTCTACTAAAAATAGAAAAAAATTAGCCTGAGGCAGGAGGATGGCTTGAGCCCAGGAGTTTGAGGTTGCAGTGAGCTAGGATGAAGCCACTGCACTCTAGCCCCGGCAACGGAGTGAGACTCTGTCTCGAAAAAAAATAAAGACGTGTGATTTTCAAGAAACCACAGTAATAGTAATAATGGAGACAGGAACTTATGAGGTATTTATTATACACCAGGTCCTGTGCTAAGGGCTTTACATACATGATCTAATTTAAGACATAACACTTACGTGAGGAAAGTATGAACATCCCCATACTATCAAGCAGGAAACAGGCTCCTAGAGATTGTGAAACTTACACAGGGTAAGGTAGCTAATAAGTGGCAGGGCTTATCTCATTTGAAAGTCAGTGCTCTTATTTACATTGCTCTACACTGCCATCCTTAAATTAGTTTGGAAATTCTCCCAGCTACCTACAAGAACCCTGAGGATCTGGGGACCCCAAGCTGGGAATCCCCATGCTGGACTGTGGTCAAAGGGAGGCCGTGTCTTACCATGATTGAGATACAGTAGCAAAAACCAACAGACAAACTCCACAGAAAATGGTTAACTCGGAAGGAGGTGATGACAAAGGGGCAGAAAGAATAAAAAATGGGCTTTTAAAAATAAGATTAGGTACTAAGGAATGTATGTATTTATACATAGCTGGAGGAGGGGGAGTCCTTGTCATAGTGATAACCACTGTTTATGGAGCGCTTACCAGTCAGGCATCCTGCTAAGTGCTTCATGTGCCAGCTTTCACCCTACTACAATAGCTTGCATGCTACTGTTCTGCTTTTACAGCTAAGGAATGAAGGCACAGAACAGGTAAATAACTCGCTCAAGGCCATTAAAAGTAGTTAAGTGGCTAATCTGATTTGAACCTGGCATCTGATGCTAGAGAAACCAGCTGGTAAGGGGGTGACAGGGGACCAAGCAGAGGGCAGTGAAATGAGAGCACCGGCCCGGCCTGGTGCACCAGCCTTACAGGGAGAGGAAGGGACACTAACGGGCACCACGGCCTCCGCGTCAGACTAAGCAGGGAGGCGTCAGCTGGACAGTGATGTTTCTCTGTGAATGTATGTACAAGTCTGAATTCCAAAGAAAAATCCTGCCTAGAGCAAATGGATTTTAAACTAGCTGCCCTTTATATTATCCGCACTGCTTCTCTCCTGCATTTGACAGATAGTCAGTTTTTCTGTAAGCTGATAAAGTCCATGTGCTCAAGCTGCTTAAAGACATTTTTTCTGCACAATTTCTGTATGCTCTTCCTTCAGCCCAGAACTTCTTTTCCATAGCTTCTCCGTGAAGTGAGAAATTCAATTCACCCTTCAAGACCCAGCTCAAATTTTACTTCCCCTGAGACGTGTTTAAACCTTCTTCCTGGTCTTGAAAAAAAAATCACTTGCTCAGTGCCCCCATCATACAGAATTACACATCCTAACTATTTAAGACCATCTCACATGAGGTTTTTATTTTTTATTTTATGAAGCCTTTTCACATTTTTTTCAGATGACGAGGACAAGACTTAGGTTCACATCCCTTTTCCAAAACTCTTGGTGCCAGACATACTCCACGGTGCAGGACCATGTATTATCTATACTCCCAGTTGGAGCTGGGGCAACAACCTCTAACCAGACACATTAACGTTTCTGCAGCAAAATGTAGGAATATTCACACTGAGATGAATAAAGACCGTATAAAAACCTTATGTTAGATCAGATTTTACCTCCAAATGAGTGATGGAAAACTGAGTTTTCAGAGCCTTCTGGATTTTGGGACCGTAGATAGGAATTTGGATTTGGATTCAGGTCTTTCAGACTCTGAACTCAGTGCTCTTTTTACTTACCACCTAGTTTCATAGTCAGAACGTGCGCGTGTATGTGCATGCATGCGATCTCACTGCTGAGACTGCGAACTCGTGGAGGGCAGAGAACTCTTAGTCTTAACTCAGTGTTGAGCAAATGTCTGGGATTAAACTTTTCTCTCTAGTGAGAAAATGTGGCATAAAAGTGCCAGTTGTTTAGGGAATCAGGGGAGGGGCTCAAACCAAAGGGACTTAGCTATTTGTACTTGCTCTTCTTGGTTCTGGGCTGTTTAGGAAAATATCTCTGACACATGGGCTAAAATAAAAATGGAGATTATCCTTAAAAGAGGGTTCTGTTTAGGCATACAGATCAAATGTGCACTAAGATTGCACTTCTTAAAAATCATGACCATGGTTGAGATAAGAATACAGGTGGATCTTGGTTCACAGATAGGTAGAGAGTGGATTTGGAGTGAGAGAGGCAGCCCTGGGTTTGAATCCTACCTTGGTCATTCATCAGCTAGATAAGTCTCAGAATACTCCTCTGTAAAATGGAATAACACTAGAACCCAGCTCACAGGACTAAATAAGTTAATGTACATACAGCATTTATGATAGTACCCAATACACAGCAGACACTGAAGAAATGGCAGCTGTTATCAGTGGTAGGAATATGCAAAGAAACCTCTGAAGCAATCAGCTGGCTATACCTCTGAAAAGAATCACTGAGTCACTGAAAGGAAGACAGCAACTTTTTGGAAAATTCAAGTAAATTTAATTCAACAAATATTTATTGACAGTCCAAGTGCCAGATACTATGCCGAGGGGTTTAAAGATGAATAAAGCCAGGACCAGTGGAGAGTGCCTGTGGGAGGCTGAGGAAGATGAATCATTCAAGCCCAGGAGTTTGAGGCTGTAGTGTGCTGTGATCACACCTGTGAAGAGCCACCTGCACTCCAGCCTGGGCAACATAGTGAGACCCTGTCTCTAAAAAAGTAAAGAAAATAAAATCCCCTGCCCAGGAGCTTGATGGTCTGGGAACCCATATGTGGAAACACCAGGAGAAGAGCTATAACAGAGGCAGCTTCGTGGTGCTAAAGTTGGCTGAGAGTGTCAAGCCTCATGGGAAGAAGGAAATAGATGGTTAGAAAAGGGTCTTTGGAAGAAATGATACCTTAGTTCGGCTTGAAGAATAAACAAGCATTTACTGGGTGGACTGAAGGAGAATGGAAGGCTTTCCTGCTGGAGGGAATGGCAGAAAATCTGACCTGACAGTAGGCCAGGCAACAGGTGTGGTCTGGATCAGAGCCATGGAATGGAGAGAAAGATTCGATAACCTGGAGTCTCTTGTGATGCTGATGTCACTTGGTGATCAACTCCATGTGGCAGGAGGGCGGGGAAGTCTTTGATGGCTCTCAGGTATTTGGCTTGGACAACTGAATGTTGAGATAGGAAGGAAGAGGAGATTTGGAGTGTGGATGCAGGTGACCTACAGTATGGACATGGAGCAGAGGGTACTCAAGGCTGGACATAAAGAGCTACTGAGTCAGCTGTGTGTGGGTGTGGTCTAGGAGAGGAGAAAGCTTATTCTGGGTTATTTAGCTGGGCAACTAATATCGACTGCTTACTGAGCTCCAATTATACTTATCATTTTATATATGTGATGTCATTCAGTCCTCAAAATGCCTGTGTGGAGGGTATTATCACCCCAATTTAAAGAAGAGGAAACTGAGGCTCAGGGAAGTTAAGTAACTTGCTCAAGAGCAAGTGGCAAGTCTTGATCTTAGGCTAGACTCCG